AGTGATCTCCGGTGGGATCCCTGTCATATCTAGGTGGGACCAAGCAAAACAATCCATGTTATCTAAAAGGAATTGAACAAGTTTTTTCCTGAGCTCGGGGGTTAACCCCGTGCCCAGGTATGCCATTCGATCGGGCAGATGCTCGATTAACATGATTTGTTTCAGCTCTTCGACCGTTGACTTCGTTGTATCAGAATCATCGGGGATTATGAAGGTTCGAGGTATCATATAATCATCATCCTTGAAAGTTTCCTGCTCCTCAGGTCGGGCCGAGGCCGGTGACTGTGGTTGCTATTTGACTTCTTTCTTTCCCTTTGACTACGATCCCTTTATTGATGAAAGCACCGATACCGGTACTACTTCGTCGATTGCAAACATTTCTTTGGCAGCGGGTTGTTCACCGTACACTGTTTTGATTCCTTCTAATGTTGGGAACTTCAAGACTTGATGAAGCGTCGAGGGCACTGCCCTCATGTTATGAATCCAAGGCCTTTCGAGCAGCGTGTTGTACCTCATGTCACCTTCGATCACATGGAACTTTGTTTCTTGGATAGTCCCAGCCACATTTACTGGAAAAATGATTTCCCCTTTGGTGGTTTCACTTACCATGTTGAAGCCGTTAAGTACTCGAGCTGCGGGAACGATTTGATCTTGGAGGCCGAGTTGCTCTATGACCCTTGATCGAATAATGTTTTCTAAGCTACCTGGATCAATCAACACACATTTAACTTGAATTTTATTCATAAGGATAGATATTACCAATGCGTCGTTGTGAGGTTGTTCGATCCCTTCTGCATCCTCGTCGTTGAAAGACAAAGTTTCTTCTGGTAAGTAGTCTCGAGTTCGTTTTTCCCTTGTGATTGTCACCTTAGTACGTTTAAATATAGGTCCTTGAGGAATATCAACTCCTCCAACAATCATGTAACTCACATGCTATGGCTCTTCCTACTCATTCTGTCTGCTTGAATCTCTGTTTTTGAAGTGGTTCCTGGCTCGATCACTTAAGAATTCTCGAAGGTGACCCTCGTTGAATGGACGGGCTATCTCCTCCCTAAACTATCTACAGTCTTCGTTCTATGACCATGGTACCATGGTATTTGCATACTTGATTAGGGTTCCTTTGAGCTGGATCGGTTTGTAAGGGTGTGGCCCATTTAGTATCCTAGATTCGTCCAATGGTTGATACAATACCCGACGCATCGATGCTGACGTTGTATTTTGATAGTTGTGGTGCTTCTGTGGGATCGACATGTTTATCGAAGCCACTTTTACTCATGAGCCCTCGGGAGTTCTGTCCTCTGTCATTCCTTCAATCATTTCGAGCGGGATTACGCCCTAGGTCGCTATTTCTACGATCTGCGTTGTATGGTTGATACCGGTCTCTGTTCGATCGGGGTTCTCTGTTGATGTCCCTTTGAATTTTGCCGACAGGCCTAATTGGGTAGACGGAATCGGAAGGGGTTCCTAATTGATCATCCTCGACCCTAATCTTTGACTGGTACCGATTAAGTACATCGGCCCAAGTCACAGCTGGATATTCAATTAAATTCTACTTTAGTTGTCATGATGCTATCGAACTTCGTTCGTTCAAACCTTGAGTAAAAGCTTAGGCATCCCAATCATGTGTGACCGGGGGTAGGTCCATGCGTTCTATCTAGAACCGAGATACGAATTCCCCCAATATTTTTTTGACCTTTTGTTTTACTTTCAAGAGGTCCGACTTCCTAGTCGCAACCTTTATTGCTCCGACGTGTGCCTTCACGGAGGATTCTGCAAGCATGGCGAAGGAATCGATGGAATTGGGCGGCAAATTGTGGTACCATATCATTGTACCTTTAGATAAAGTTTCTCCAAACTTTTTTAATAGTATTCAATCTCATCATCCTCTAAGTCATTCCCCTTTATTGCGCATGTATAAGAAGTGACATGCTCATTAGGGTCGGTGGTTCTACTGTATTTTAGAATTTCTGGCATGCGGAATTTTTTCAGGATGGGCTTCGGAGCTGCAATTGGAGGGAAAGGCTTCTGCACGAACTTCTTTGAATCCAAACCCTTTTGAATCGGTGGTGCCCCCGGTATTTGGTCAACCCGGGAGTTGTATATTTCTACCTTTTGGTCATTTGCCTCGATTTTCTTCTCACCTGATTCAATCCGTTTAGTGAGCTCCTCGAGCATTTTCATAATGACGGGGTCAGTCCCTGATTCATTGGCGTTCGATCTCTCTGGTACAGGTTCGGCTCTATGAACAACTTCTTGTGATGTTTCGAGCTCAATTCTTCTTGGTGCTCGATTCTGATTTTGGAGTTGTGCTATCGTAGCTTGTTGAGTCTGCAACATCTCGAATGTCATTCGATGGCCAATTCCTCCTTCTTCACCGCTCTGTGCGTTCTGATCGGCTGCCGAGCATCTCTGCGGATGCTATTTTCAGGGTCGACGCCCAAATTTCCATTAATGGAAATATGGGAGTTGACATCGACTAGGTCTACGGTTGGCGGTCCATCGGGGTTGACTGGAGGTACTACGTTTCCCAGGGCGGCTATGTTTTTGTTCTCTCTATGAAGACCAAGGCCATTGTCTGTATGAGTGGATGCTACTTGAGAGTTTGACATGTTGATTCCTGAAATCAAAAACACTTACTAAAACAAACGTAAAGCAGTGTGTGTTATGAGAATTAATACCAGGCAATCAAGATTAGCGATAGAAATTAACAATAAAGTAAAGCAAACCAGTGTTGAGACGGAATTCAACCCTCGAGTTAGAATGCCCTCGAGCTGATTGATACCAGAACAAGTAAAAATAAGGCAAGCTGATGAACAAGAGAATATAAGCTAAAAAGAATGTTATATTGTTTTGATCTGCCAGAATGTAAGTCCCTTGCAAATGATTGGAACCCCTCTTTATATAGTAGAGGAATCCTAATTATGGTATAACTCTAATTACAGAAGGAAATACCATGATTAGCTAATTAACTGTCCTAGATTTGATCCGTTCCAAGATTTCCGCCATGATCTTCGACCAGTCACGGATATCTCGCCTTTCTCTTATTATGCTATCTTCGATCTTGCTCGATGTCTTTCTCATTTGGTCTCAATCACTACCGGCCTCGATCTTGACAGATTCCTCGAATCTCGAACTCGGTACCTTGTCCTCGTGCCTCGGTCTGATCTATTACGGGATCGATCTTCGATCCTTCACACTGGTCTCGGTAAATCAGTAAAATCGGGTGGGCCCAATTTTAACCGTATACAATTTGATTGTGAACCCAGTTGCTAACTTGAGATCGTGATAGGAACCCATAAACTTCAAAATCTGGATCCGCCTCTGCTCTTCCCTGCACCATATGTGGAATGCTTTGTGCACCGGTTTGTCCTAAACTTCTTTGAAACTAAGCATTGCCACCACTCTCCAACTCTTTCATAATAGAACTCCACTTGAAGAAGGTGCCGAACAGTGCCTTTGTGTCCTCTAGGGTTTTACCTTGAGTTTTAGGGAACAAGGTGTAGAAAAACACAAAACCTATGAGTGCAATCCCAGCATAAAAAAGAAAATTACCCCTATTGTAATGCTTTTGCATAACGATATAAAACTCATGATAACAATTCCACTTGTCAATCGATTCATTGCTGTTCCAACACTACAACGAGAAGCATACGGCGAGTCCGGGTTGGATATGGGACGAAAATGAATAATGCAAAAGGGATAAATTATTCGATCCGACCCATATTTAATGCGGATAACAAATTGGTTAACCGGTGGATAATATGTATATCCATATTATCCATGACTTGTTGTATATGATCACTTTTGGGAGAATTTCCGGTCTCCCAAACTTGAGGAACCCCCAATTTGAGACTTTACAAATGTAAAAGCTTAACCCATTAGTTATCCATTGGTTATCCATTTTCTAAATGGATAATATGGTTCTTATCCCATATTCAACCCGTTTTTAAGAAGTTCGTTATCTAACCCATTTTTTAATGAATAATATGGGTGGATAACTATTTTCTTTTTTCCATTTGCCACCCCAAACTACAACCTTGAGCATGTTGTCTTAGCGGGAATATTTCAGAACTATAAACCCATGCAAGATAGTACCAGTGAAAATGCACAATTTAAGAATCATTCACTATCAGGCAAGTCAAAAACTCTACTCTATGTAGTATAGCCAAAATATAGGATGAATATTCTGTATAAATACATAAGAAACGGGTAACTGAAGATATATCAATACAATGCCTTCTTGATATTGTCTCTGCACCATATTTTCATAAATACCATTATAGCCTGGACGTTGAAAACTTGCAACCATCCTTCGGCTGCGAAAACTATGTTTCTTGCCTTCATAAATATTGTTTACCAGAACACTAGACCAGAACAGAAATCAAATTCAATGTTCCAAAACCTATGTTTTTTTTTTTGGATAATTCTTAGAAAAACCTACAGCCGCTACCTTTCGGGTGCGCATTGGGTAACTTGCTCATTATGCAATGCCCGCAAAAACCACATAAGAATTGTTAACTGCACTAGGCAAATCCGGTGCGGCGAGCTCTAACTACTGGTGACGGGAGTCAATATCAAGTCTCCCATATGAAAAACCACTCATCCAACCCTTGCGTGCCCAAAACAATACTTGATGAAAAACAAATCCAAAGGACTACATTTTAGTAGTAAGGATAAAAATTTAGAATTGAACATAGAATGACAAAGTTTTGGGCCCCTTTGCCACTAAGAGGGCAAACATACAAATGTAAACCCAATGGGTTTTGAACCCCACCTTGTCCTTTTCGAATACACATACTTCAACAAACCGTCTGCATGTATTGTTTCATGTGGAGACATATATTCTAAAAACATCTAAATCAAAAATGGTGAGAAATATCACTATACATATATCATTATTTTGAGACACAAATACAAACTTTCTATTTATATAGAAGCTAGAATATACGTTCGAACCCGCAGTCACAAACCTATACAAGTCTACCCGAAATATCAATGAAATGGCCATAAAAAATCAAACAAGTTGCCAAGCTGCAGCGCTAAAGAAAATATTGAAAAGGTGTTCGAGTTTGGGAAAGAAAAATGGCTACGACGATGAAGATGGTCTTCCCATTGACGTGCCCAAAGGCCATTTTGCTGTCTACGTAGGAGAGAACCGAACACGATATATTATACCAATTTCTTTCTTAGCTCACCCTCAGTTTAAGTCCCTTCTCCATCGTGCCGAAGAGGAGTTTGGGTTTAATCACGATATGGGCATTACCATTCCCTGTGAAGAATTCGTTTTTCGATCATTAACTTCCATGCTGCAGCAGAAGAGAAATATTTAAAAGTTACATTTAATATTAATATTAAATAGAGTTAATACCCTAAAATCTTTCTAAACTATCAGATTTTTGTCAGTTACATACTTAAAATGTCGTGTATCTCCAAAACCCCCGAACTATATTTTCATTCATTAAAACCCTCTCGTGTGTATATTGCTAACAGAGATGGAGGCAAGATGAACAACACATGGTGTATTGCTTCTCTTTTTTTTCCTCAGCTTTCTTCACTGTAGATTTTCCATCCTTTCCTTTTCTACTTCTGTTTAGTTAATATTATCCAATTTCAAAACCAAGAAGCACATGAAATAGTTTTTTTTTATTGGTCAGATCAGTAAAAAGAGCGGCTTGTAGATTTTTGCTTGCGATGGTGTTTGACTTTGGTTGCACCCTGCGAGAGAAGAAGCACATAAAATGATTATTTGTGCTTTGCATTTATTACATCTCAAAACACCAAAAAAATAAACCTGAAAATTATGGTAAAGCGAATTGGTCGCTAGGCTGTTTCTTATGGACCTATGAAATTTCAGGGCAATCAGAGTCCATTAATTTTTTTTTACAAAATCAACATATACTAATACACACGAAAAGGTAGATATAATCACAAATTAGTGTGGTAGGACCATGAAACGCCATAAAATGAAATCAACATTCATGGCGAAGCAAAGTATTGGTCACTAGGCCAGTTCTTATGGACATACAAAGTTTTAAGTCAATCAGAGTCCATCAAAAAATTCTACAAAATCAGTATGTACTAATACATACGAAAATATAATCACAAATTCGTATTGCATGATCACGAAACACCATAGAATAAACCCGAAAGTCATGGCGAAGCAATGAGTATTGATCACTATACCATTTTCTATGGATCTACAAAATTTCAAGTCAATCGGACTCCGTCAAAAAGATTCTACAAAATCAGCATGTACTACCAAAAATGTGGATATAATCACAAATTCGTATTGCATGACCACAAAACGCGAAGTTCGTTTCCTATGGAATGAATATTCAGGCCAATATGAGTCCATCATTTTTCTTTTTACAGAATTAGCATGTACTAATATACACAAAAAATGGATATAATCATAAATACGTGTTGCATGACCCCAATATACAAAAAAAAAAAATTAATCCTAAAGTCATGGCGAAGTAATGAGTATTGGTCACTAGGTCGTTTCCTATGGACCTATGAAATTTCAAGCCAATCGGAGTTCGCCAAAAAGCGAAGCAATAAGTATTGGTTACTAGGTTACTTTTCTAATGGACCTACGAAATTTCAAGCCGATCAGAGTTTGTCGGATTTTTTTTTTTTACAAAATCATGTATTAATACTCACAAAAAAGTTAATATAATTACAAATTTATGTCTTATGATATCAAAACACCAAAAATAAATTCGAAAGTCATAACGGAGCTATGAGTATTGATCTTTAGGCCGTTTACTATGAACCAACATAATTTCAGGCCAATCAGAGTTTGTCAATATTTTTTTACAAAAATATCATGTATTAATACACACGAAAAAATGTATAATCACAATTTTGTGTTGCATGCTTCCAAAATACTATAAAAAACCTGAAAGCCATGGCTAAGTGATGAGTATTAGTCACTAGGCCATTTCATATGGATCTATAAAATTTCAGGCCAATCGGAGACCATCAACAAAATTCTACAAAATCAGCATGTACTAATATACACGAAAAAGTAGATATAATCACAAATTCGTATTGCATGACCACGAAATACCATAGAATGAATCCAAAAGTTATGACGAAGTAATAAGTGTTGGTCACTAGGCCGTTTCTTATAGACATACAATATTTTAGGCCAATCGATGTCTATTAATTTTTTTTTAATAAAATCAGCATGTACTAATACATGCAAAAAGTAGATATAATCACAAATTCATATTGTATGACAACGAACGCCATAAAATAAACCTGAAAGTCATGGCAAAGCAATGAATCGGAGTCTATCAACAAAATTTTGCAAAATCATTCGTGTGGCATGACCACGAAACTTCATAAAATGAGTATGAAAGTCAGGGAGAAGCAATGAGTATTGGTCACTAGGCTGTTTTTATGGACTTACGAAATTTTAGGCCAATCGGAGTTTGTCTTAAAAATTCTATGAATCAACATGTACTAACACACACGAAAAAGTGAATATAATCACAAATTTGTGTTGCATGACCCAAAAATACCCAAAAAAGTCCGAAAGTCATGGAGATGCGACGAGTATTGGTCACAAAATTTTAGGCAAACTGAAATCTATCTAAAAAATTCTACAAAATTTGCATGTACTCCCTCCGTTTCAAATTAGATGAGGTAGTTTGACTCGGCATAGAGTTTAAGAAAAAAGAAGAAGACATTTGAAATTTGTAGTCTTAAAAGCTTAAGGGGTAAAAACTTTGTGGGTCCATGACATTTGTGTGGTTATAAAAACTTCTCATTAAGGGTAAAATAGGTAAAATGAAGAGTTTAAAATTGATTATTTTCAAATTTAGAAATGTATTTTTGGAACAGACTAAAAAGGAAAGTACCTCATCTAATTTGAAATGGAGGGAGTACTAAAACACAAAAATCTGGGAATCGTCTTGAATTCCTGTTTTATGGCCCTATAATGCCAAAAAACAGAATTGTCATGGTGAAGCCATGACTTCTGTTTGTTAGGTTATTTTTTATGGGCCCGCAAAGTTTTAGGAGGTTCGGAGTGAGTCGCCTAAATTTATGCATATGGCGTGGAATATAGCACACGAAAATCTGGAATCGTCCTAAATTCCTGTTTATGGCCTTAAAACGCCAAAAAAAGAGGAGTGATCATGGCGAAGCGATGACTATTGTTCATTATGTTATTTTTGATAGGACCACAAAATTTTAGGTGACTCAGGTGATCGGGGCCAACCCTGCACCACTATAGAGCGGCGAGAGCGGTCGATGCAGCTTTTACCCGAATAGGTCGGGATCGAATCCACAGGGAGCTAGATTTGGGAATTGGATTCCTATCTAAACTAGCAATGCGTAATGCTCTTAATTACGCTTCCAATCATAGTTGTTCTTTTGATTACTTCTATTTTTATACTATTAGATGCTAAATTTAACTAAGAATACTTGCTAAAGGGTTGTCTAATAGGTAGTAACGAGGCACTAGGGAAGTGACTTTCCCCTAGGTGAATACTTGACGGGTTCCTAAGTCTAAGGCAAAGATGTTATGTTTGGGATTGCGATATAGCCATTTGCACGACAATAATCAATCTATACCTCTCGGTAGCTTGAGTGACTTTGCCCGAATTGACTTTCTCAAGACCAATTGGGTGTCGAAATTAAGCAAGCAATGTAGGCTCAAGTCGGGTATTACTATCTCTAGATTTAACTCTTTAATTGGGGCTATCAATCTCTTGAGTACGCCCTAATTTCTTGTTAGACTGATTTCCTAGACTTAAGCTCTCTTTCTCAAGAAGAGCCCAGGTTACTTAGGCACAAATTAGTGTTTGCAACCACTAATCCAACATACAAAACATAAATCAATCACCCATAAACATCTAAGCATTAAACACAAGTCCCATCAAATACCCACACTAGGGTTGAGCCACAACCCTAGCTAATGGGTCTAGCTACTCATAATAATGGAAGAAAACAAGAAATTAGAATAACTCATAATATTTAATTGCAAACTAAGATAATGAGGATTCAGTGTAAATGTAGCTACAAATTACTCAAAATGGAACAAAAGAGTCGTTCACGTGCTCTCCTCAAAGTCAGATTACAAAAGATACCCTAAAAATGTGAAAAGAAAGTATTTATACTGGGCCGAATTTTATGGACAAAAATACCCCTGATGAGCTATTGCGGTCCGCACAAAATGCAACGCGGACCGCGCTGAGGCTTTTTGTCTTGATTCTGCATTCTCTAAATCTGGCCACCGCGGGCTGCATAAAATGCACCGCGGCCGCGTTGGCTTCAATGCGGTCCGCACAAAATGACTTGCGGACCGCGCTGGCTTCAATCTCTATTTTGCTTAACTCTCTGAATCTCATCTCTGCGGAACGCATAAAATGGTTGCAGCCGCGGTAAGGCTACTGCGGTCCGCACCAAATGGTTTGCGGCCGCAGTGCTTGAGTTACCAAAAACTGCACCTCTCTGAATCTCATCACTACGGACGACACTAAATGGATTGCGGCCGCAGTGGATCTGTTTCAATTGTGCTTGGACTTGTTCTTGGTACTTGTGCATGTTTCACTCCTTTTTGAGCTGGTTTTGACTAATTGTCACCTTTTTTACCAAACCCTGCAAACAAGTACAACATGTAAGCCTGTGGGAGTATTTTGTATACATTTTTAATCAAAACTCAAGTGAAAAGGAGTGTAAAATGAACTAGAATCCCTAGTTATCAACTCCCCCAAACTTAAGCTTTTGCTTGTCCTCAAGCAAACAAAATAAGTCCCACCTCTTAAGAGTAAAACCAAGAAAATTTAGTTGACCTAAAGTGACCTCATCTAGCATCAATTGGGACTAACAATTGGCCTCAAATCAAATGAGTCATTGACAACATTCAACCTTTTAAACACCATGGTTTTAGTGCGACACAAGAGCATCAAGGATTGACTCGACTCACCAAAGAAACTCTTTCTAATACTTTGGTCATTGTGGAACCCAAACTCATGCATCTTCAACTCTCCCTAAGCAAACCTCAATTTCCAATTATAACACTTAGAACGAGGATAGTGGAACTCTCATCTCTCTCAAAGAAAAGTCACAAGTCCAGCTCTAAGTACCATAAGCTTGCCCCTTATGTGAGTCACCACTAATGTAAGCTTCGTTCAACTTAAGATCATATATATAGGGCTTTTGTGGAGTTATCACGAAGGCTTTTGGTTCAGGGTAGGAAATATTTGGTCTAAGTAGGTTCCATCTTCCCTTAAGCACTTCATTTGCTTTATTTTGGCACACATTCTTTTGACTTTTTAAGTCATTTACTTCTTTCTTAGGGGTTAGAGAGACACGC